CCCTTCAGGAGCAAGGGAGAATGAAGAGAACAAGATACAAGGAAAAGATTAGTCCATATGACTAATGGACCACAGCTACCACGGCCTCTACCAGACTGAGTTCAGTACAGCTAGATGGTGCCCGACTACCACCACTGACTGCTCTGAGTGGGATCACAATAGAGGTTCCTGGACAGAGCTGGAAAAGGATGTAGAACAGAATTCTAACTCACAAAAAAAGACCAGATTTATTGGCCTGACAGACTGGAGAAACCCTGAGAGTATGGCCCCCCGACACCCTTTTAACTCAGTGGTGAAGCCCCTCCCAAAGTTCACTGTTCAGCAGGGGAATGGACAGCCTCATAAAACAAAACAGGACTTATACGGCACAGCAGTCCAGGTGCAAGGACTAGAAGGCAGGAGGGGACAGGAAAGCTGGTGATAGGGAATCCAAGGTTGAGAAGGGACAGTGTTGACATGTCGTGGGGTTGTGAACCATAGTCATAGGGCAATATGTGTACTAACTATTTAATGAGAAACTATTTGTTCTGAAAACCTTCATCTAAGGTACAAAAAAAAAGAAAAAAGGAATTATCTATGTGAGATCAAATTGACAACAGCAACTCAAAAGGTTTGATTGGAAGCCTAGGGGACAGTGAGTTGAAGATAATGGTGATGGAATAATTTGGGAAAGGATAGTGGGAATAACAGCACAACTGGAAGAATGTAATTGATGTCACTGAATTGTACATGTAGAAACTTTCAAAGGGTGTAACTTTGGCTATGTATATTTTCACCAAAAAAAAAGGTCCTCAAGGTCGAGAAGGGAGAGTGTTGACATGTTGTGTGGTTGTTAACTAATGTCATAAAACAATATGTGCACTGACTATTTAATGAGAAACTCTTCTGTAAACCTTCATCTAAAGTACAATAAAAAATTAAAAAAAAAAAAGAAATAAAAAGAATACATTGACCAATGGAACAGAATTGAGAACCCAGATGTAAATCCATCCCCTTACAGTCACCTGATCTTCAACAAGAGCCCAAAGTCCATCAAATGGGAAAAATACGTTCTTTTCAACAAATGGTGCTGGCAAAACTGGATGTCCGTCTGCAAAAAAATGAAACAGGATCCATACCTCACACCACACACAAAAACTAATTGAAAACATATCAAAGACCTAAATATAAAACCAAAAACTATAACAGTCATAGAAGAAAAAATAAGATCAATGCTAGAGGCCCTAACATGGCATTAGCAGGATACAAACCATAACTAACAACACATAAAATCCAGAAGACAAGCTAGATAACTGGGATCTTCTAAAAATTAAACACTTACGCTCATCAAGAGACTTCACCAAAAGAGTGAAAAGAGAGCCTACAGACTGGGAAAATTTTTTTGCCAAGACAAATCCGACAAAGGTCTAATCTCTAAAATCTACAGGAAAATCAAACACCTCTACAACAAAAAGACAAATAATCCAGTTAAAAAATGGGCAAAGGATATGAACAGACACTTCACCAAAGAAGACATTCAAGTGGCTAACAGACACATGAGGAAATGCTTGAGATCACTAGCCTTTAGAGAAATGCAAATCAAAACCACAATGAGCTACCATCTCACCCCGACATTACTGGCATGAATCAAAAAAACAGAGAATAACAAATGTTGGAGAGGTTGTGGAGAGACTGGAACACTTATACACTATTGCTGGGAATGTAAAATGATACAGCCATTTTGGAAAACGATATGGCACTTCCTTAGAAAGCTAGAAATAGAAATACCATATGATCCAGCAATCCTATTCCTAGGAATATATCCTAGAGAAGTAAGAGCTTGTCACACGAATAGACCTATGCATACCCATGTTTTCTGCAGCACTGTTCACAATAGCAAAATGATGGAAACAACCTAGATGCCCATCATCAGATGAATGGATAAACAAACTATGGCACATACACACAATGGAATACTATGCAATGATAAAGAACAATGATGACTCTGCGAAGCATCTCACAACATGGATGAATCTGGAGGACATTATGTTGAGTGAAATAAGTCAGTCACAAAAAGACAGATATTGTATGAGACCATTACTATAAAAACTCATGAAAAGGTTTACACACAAAAAGAAACAATCTTTGATAGTTATGAGAGTGGGGAGGGGTGGGGATGAAAAACTCTAAATAGACAGTAGATAAGTGGTAACTCTGGTGAAGGGTAAGACAGTGTGCAATACTGGGAAAGCCAGCACAACTTGTCCAAGGCAAGGTCATGGAAGCTCCATAGATACATCCAAATTTGCTGAGGGACTGAATTACTGGGCTGAGGGCTATGGGGACCATGATCTCAGGAAACATATAGCTTAATTGGCATAACAGTTTATAAAGAAAATGTTCTACATCCTACTTTGGTGAGTAGTGTCTGGGGTCTTAAAAGCTTGTAAGCAGCCATCTAAGACACTCCGCTGGTCTCACCCTGTTGATAGCAAGGGATGATGAAGAAAAACAAAGACACAAGGAAAAGATTAGTCCAAAGGACTAATGGGCCACAACTACCACAACATCCACCCGACTGAGTCCAGCACAACTAGATGGTGCCTGGCTACCACCACTGACTGCTCTGACAAGGATCACAACAGAGGGTCACAGACAGAGCTGGAGAAAAATGTAGAACAAAATTCTAACTCAGAAAAAAAGATCAGACTTACTGGCCTGACAGAGACTGGAGAAACCCCTAGAGTATGGCCCCAGACATCTTTTTAGCTGAGTAATGAAGTCACTCCTGAGGTTCACCATTCAGCCAAAGATTAGACAGGCCCATAAAACAAAATGAGACTTAAAGGGGCACACCAGCCCAGGGACAAGGACTAGAAGGCAGGAGGGGATAGGAAAGCTGGTAATAGGGAACCCAAGGGTGAGAAGGGAGAATGTTGACATGTTGTGGGGTTGGTAACCAATGTCACAAAGCAATATGTGTAATAATTGTTTAATGAGAAGCTAGTTTGTTCTGTAAACCTTCATCTAAAGTACAATAACAATAAAAAAAAGAAATAAAGTGAGTTCAATACTCAGAAATTATGAACAAGAATCAGAAATTGCCTGTGCCTTCCCAAACAAGCTCCAAGAAGCCCAACATTCAGAGGGACCTCAGGAGCAGGATGAAGAGACCAGAAATGATAAAGTTGACTCAAAAAGTGCTTCGGTGCATGAAGGAGAAGCAATTGAGTGAAATCATGAAGAATTAGAAGAGTATCCTGTTCTTAAAAGCTTTTCCAATATAGTCCCTGATGGCCCCATTGAAAACCTCCCAGGAGGTGATAGTGGCATGGAGACAAACATAAAAATATCAGTAGCAGAAGCAACCAAACCAGAAATGAATGAAAAGGTGCTTCTTATCTGCATTACTTTTCCTGGAAATGGAGCCCCCAAAGAATCAGCAATGGCCAAATCAAGTCTCCATAAAAGAAAGCGTACCCTTCATACCAACAACTATAGCTTCAATATACTTACACACCAGGAAAATGACGAACATAAGATGAAAACTTATAGAAATAAGTTGGATTCAAAGACCAAGATAAGTAACAGGACACATCAGAATTTCTTGAGTTCCACTGAAGGATCCATTAAGCCTACCGTGCATAAAACCAGCATAAAAACTCAAGTTTTCCCTGCTTTGGGGCTTGCCCCAGGCCTCAGAAATCACCCAAGTTTCAAAGGAGAATGCCACAGATAGAAAAGAAGCAGTCCACTTACAGGGCTCTGAAGTCAAAAAGGCCATCATTCTCTTGCGTCTGTAAAAATCCAGTAATAAAAAAGTCTTCTGTTCCTTTTTCTGTTTGGAAGAGGCTGCATAGGCCCAGCTCATTATTACTCCCTCATTGTTAATCCCTGCATTGTTTCATGATCTTTCTTTTCCTTTCCGTTCCAGTCTTTATAAAAAGTTTAAGATTAACCAATGTTCGTCCTTGGAGGGTGGAAAACAAGTGATAATCTAGGAATGAAAAACTGAACAAAGTGCCTGAAACCAGGATGCCATCAGGCAACCTTCAGGAATGCCAGTAAAAAAGGTCAACTTGTTTAGGACATGACCACCTTGACCACCTCAAGGAAGAACTAACATTCTGCAAATTCTTAAGACTCATGATCCTGTCCCATAAAACCTCCAGTTGGCCTCCAGTTCAAGGAGGCAGGTTTTTGGAGGAATCTATTCCCCTCTGTCTCCTGTATATCGATATACAATAAAACTCTTACTGCTCACCTCACCCGTCTCAGAATTGGCTATTGCAGGACGTAGCTCCAATCCGTGCAATTGCGGTAACATGTTTGACCAATAGAACCAAACCTAAATTGCCTAGATTTTAAGTATAGTGACATGTTCAAAGAAATCAATTTGACTGGCAATGGACCTGGAATCTATGAAATGCTTGGGACTCCTGTTTATTGTCATGTAAGAGAGGCTGGATAGCATGAAAACAAATATTATTACCACAAGATATGCTCACCTCCATCTGGCAGATGTATCACCAATAAATGTCGATCCTTACACAGTGAGGATCGCAACAATAGCAGAACCAGACATTCTCAGAAAAGACCACATATTAAACCCCTGGAGACTTCTCTAAGCATTAAAAGCACAAAAGTTCAATTTATAAAGAAAAGAGTCGCAAGCTGGTAGCTAGGAACTTAGAAGACATTGGAAATGATGATGGTACTGCAGAACCAGACTGGCAGGTAAAGCCTCAGGAGATGACTTTCTATTTTTCGAAGACATTCAGCCCATGAAATCGGCTCAGTATCCTGAGCAGTCCGCTGAGCAGAATGAATTCCTTCCCGTTTCAGATCTGTCCATTGTTGAAGAGGCCTCTATGGAATGGTCTACCAATGAAGGAGACGCTTCTAACAATCAACTACTTGCCATGGGCCTCAGAGATCTGCATGAACTTGAAGAGTTACATCATCAGATCCTATTTGTTCCATCAGAAAACAGCTGAGCAATGCCCAGTGAGAAGAATTCCAACAAACATGTATTGCAAGAGAAGCAGAACGAAGCATCTCCAGGTAATTTAAATGCCAACCAAATTTTAACTGACAATCTAGAAGTTGATAGTATTTCAGATAAGTCTAAAACACTCATGAGCTTCTCTTTCCAAGAGAAACAAGAAAATGCAACTTCCCAAAGATATCAAAACTGAGCACACTTTTTGGACCATGATAGTTTATCAAATAAGTCAATTACATATCAAATGTTTGGGAAAACTTTAAATGATGAAAATTCAATTTCCCAAGAAATTCTAGAGTCTGTAAAGAATGAAGAATTGACAGATGAGCTCTTAGGTTGTCTATCTGCAGAACTTAGCTCTTGGTGAAAAACATAACAACTCTTGCCAAATAATGGCAAATGAAACAGATCCTGAAAGTCTCAATCTTGACTTTTGTAGGAGAGGAAATATCAAACAAGAATTGGGCAGAGAGGCAACAAATGTCAAAGTACAGAGGTCCAGTAATGGGTTCAGGGTTTATGACAGGGAGGAGAAATTTCTCAACTCAAATGAAAAGAAGACATTTTCTGGAAATAGTTTGAAGTATGGAGAGCCTATCCTGTGGACCAAGGGTGAGATCCTTGGGAAGGGAGCCTACAACACAATATACTGGGGTCTTACTAGCCAGGGGCAGCTAATAGCTGTAAAACGGTCAATTCCGATTCATACTGTTCCTATAGGACAGAGTAGAACTGCCCCACTGGGTTTCTAAGGAGCACCTGCTGGATTCGAACTGCCAACCTCTTGGTTAGCAGCTAAACTCTTAACCACTATGCCACCTGGGTTTCCTCTGATAAATTAACTACTGAAAAAGAATACTGAAAACTACAGGAAGAAGTAGATTTGCTCAAAGTACTGAAACATGTCAACATTGTGGCCTACTCGGGGACATGCTTGGAAGAGAATACCGTAAACATTTTCGTGGATTTTGTTCTCCGTGTTTCAATCTCTAGTATTATAAATCATTTCAGGCCATTGCCTGAAATGGTGTTCTGTAAATATACAAAACAAATTCTACAGGGTGCTGCTTATCTCCATGAGGACTGTGTGGTGCATTGAGATATCAAAGGAAATAATGTCATGCTCATACCAACCGGAATAATAAAGCTGATTGACTTTGGCTGTGCCAAGCGTTTGGCCTGGGCAGGCTTAAATGGCACTCACTGTGACATGCTTAAGTTCATGCATGGGACTTCATATTGGATGGCCCCAGAAGTCATCAAAGAGTCAGGCTATGGAAGGAAGTTGGACATCTAGAGCACTGGCTGCACTGTGTTTGAGATGGCCACAGGAAATCCTCTGCTGGCCTCCATGAATGGTATGGCCGCCGTGTTTTACATCGGAGGGCACCAAAGCCTTTGCCAGACTACTCAGAGCAGGCAGTGGACTTTGCGCATGTGTGCCTAACTGGTAAGAAACTGAAAGCAGGAGGAGGAGGACAAACCCCCAGATTCCAGGCAGCTGTCATTTCCCCTGCGGCTTATGGTCCATTAAAAGCTCTGCTTCCATTATGAAAAAAAGAAAGAAAGAAATTAATTTGCTCTGTAAACTTTCACCTAAAGCACAATAAAAAAAAATGATGAGAGTCTTCAAGAAACATATTTAAGTATCACTGTGAACTTAAAGCAGAAAAAATATAAAGAAAACTACGTATATCATGGTAAAATTGCTGAAAACCAGAACAGGAAAAAAACTCTTAAAGCAGAGGAAAAAAGACACTTTATCTTTAAAGGAGCTTTGAATTATATAAGACTTATATCCTGACTTCTCAACAGAAATAACGGAAGCCAGAAGAGAATAGAATAATAACTTCAAAGTACTAAAAGAGAATAACTGCCAACTAAGTATTCTATACACCTGTTGCCATTGAGTTGATTCTGACTTATAGTGACCCTATAGAACAGAGTAGAAGTGCCCCATAAAGTTTCCAAGGCTGTGATCTTTACAGAAGCAGACGGCCACGTCTTCCTCTAGAGGAGCAGCTAGTGGGTTCGACCTTTCAGTTAGCAGCTAAGTGCTTAACCACTGCGCCACCAGGGCTCCTTAAAGAGTAGAACTGTCCCATAGGATTTCCAAGGCTGTAATCTTTACAGAGGACTTTTCGGTTAATAGCTGAGTGCTTTAACCACTGTGCTGCCAGGGCACCTTTTAGAATGAAGGTAAAATAAAGACATTGCCAGGAATATTCTCAGTTAGAAAAAGAGTTTTTAAGTTCTACATGCAGAAGACATAGGATCCCATGAGACTCACAGAAATGGAAAGTGAACGAAACGTAACTGTTGTTGTTAGTCACGATCGAGTTGCCCTCCAACTCAGCAATCTACATACAATGGAACAAAACTCCGCCCCGTGCTGTCTCATCCCCATGATTGACTGTACATTGGAACATAGGGATCCATAGGGTTTTCATTGGCTGATTTTTGGAAGTAATCTGTCTTAGTCTGGAAGTTCCGATGAAACGTGTTCAGCATCATAGCAACACGAAACCCTCCATTGACAGATGGGTGGTGGCTGTGTGTAACGTGCTTTGGCTGTGAACTAAACCAGGTCTCCCCCATGGAAGGGGGGAATTCTACCACTGAACCACCAATGCCCCACACATGGAATGCAATCGAAAGAGTAAATATGTGATTTACAAATCCCAAAGTTCCTTGTATTCACAGTTTGGAGTTTGGGGGAGATGTTCTAACTAACAGTATAATTTGAGATAACATTAGTATATAGTTGTTATTTAAAGCCATGAGATTTAATGAAAATCCCGAGGGAGTGGGTATTGATAGAGAAGAAGTCCAAGGACAGAGACCTCTGGTGTTCCAACATTAAACCAGCAAAGTAGACTAAGAAGGAGTGACCAATGAGGTGGGAGGAAAACCAGCATAGTGTAGTGTTCTGGAAACTGAGTGACGAAAACATATCAAGGAGGAAGAAATGATTAACTGGTTCAAATACCACTTATATGTGAGGTAAGATAAGAAAAGAGAATTGAAAGTAAATATAACAATATGGAGGTCTTTGATGATTTTTACAAGAACAGCAATGGAGTGAAGGGGCAAAATTGTGATTAGAGGAAAATGAAGAGAAATAGGAGAAGCATAGCTTAGAAGCTGTGAATATAACAATTCTCTAAAGGAATTTTTTTTTTATAAAGGAAAGCAGATAATTGAGAAGATAGCACAGAAAAGGAAGCCAAGATAGTCTTCTATTTTTTTTAAAATGGGAGAAATAATATAGTGTTTTTGCAGACTTCTGGGAAAAACTCAAAGGGAGAGAAAATTTGATGCTACATGAGAGAAAAGGGAGAGTTCTGTAGTGAGTGTTTGAAAAGTTTAGTGGGAATGGAATCAGTTAAAATGATGGGGGTGGATTTTGTCTTTGCTAGTGCATAAAGGCTTCATGGTAACAGGAGGGAAGACAAAGCATATGGCCATTTATATTGGTAAGTAGGTAGATGGGGTAATGGGAATGTGCGAAAACATTCTTTTACGATTACTTTTTATTTTCTCAGTAAAAGAGAAAATAAGATCATCAGATGAGAGTGAGCATGGGAAGAGATTTGGAAGGTCTGAGGAAAGGAAAATTAATGCAGTAGTCATCTAGTAACATGGAAGAGTGATTGAACTAGGACTATGTTACACACTGGTGAGCAATACGAAGTGCTCACTTGAGATTAAAAAACAAAACAAACAGTTCCTGTTGAGTTGACCCTGGCTCATGGTGACCCCACGTGTGTCGGAGTAGAACTGTGCACCTTGGGATTTTCAGTGGCTGATTTTTCTGACATAGATGGACAGGTCTTTCTTCTGAGGTGCCTCTGGGTGGACTTGAACTTTCAACCTTTCAGTTAGCAGCTGAGCACGTTAACTCCTTGCACCACTCAGGAACTCCCACTTGAGATTAGTGATCATGAATTTGCAGTGTGACCAGTCAGCAAGGTAAGCATATTTTCTACCAGACATATTCAGCTGCAGAAGTGAATGTGAAGAGTAGGCAGAGAGTTAGATGTTGGCAATGATCATCAATGGCTGATAAACTAAAGAGAGAGAGAGAGAATCAGACATTCCATATTCTTACTAGAAGTATACAGCCCCACTTGTGAAATAATTGGGTTAAAAAAATTGAACACTGGATATATATTTAAGGCTTTAGATCTATCTATCAATTTACAGGAAGGAAAGGAGAATAGAGAAACACGTTAATTGACACCAAAGGGATGCGATTAATGAGATCTAGACTGTGGGAGATTCTACAAAACAAATGACCTAGTTTCTTTAACAATAAAAAGAACAACAATTGAAAGAAAAAAGAAATGGAGGGAGAAACTATAAATTAAGAGGGTTAACAGCTGCCTCCTTTGGTGTGAGAACAGAGGAACTAGATGGTGCCTGGCTACCATTATTGAACTTTTTTTTTTAAAATTTTTATTGTACTTTAGATGAACGTTTACAGAACAAATAGTTTCTCATTAAACAGTCAGTACATATATTGCTTTATGACACTGGTTAACAACCCCAACCCCACGACATGTCAACACTCTATTTTCTCCACCTTGGAGGACTTTTTTTTTTTGTGAAAATACACATAGCCAAAGATACACCATTTCAAAAATTTCTACATGTACAATTCAGTAACATCGATTACACTTTTCCAGTTGTGTTGCTATTCTCACTATCCTTTTCCAAATTATTCCATCACCATTATCTTCAACTCACTGTCCTCTAGGCTTCCCATCAAACCTTTTGAGTTGCTGTTGTCAATCTGGTCTCACATAGGTAATTTTTTTTTATTGTACTTTAGATGAAGGTTTACAGAACAAATAGTTTCTCATTAAATGGTTAGTGCATATGTTGTTTTATGACAATGGTTAACAACCCCATGACATGTCAACACTGTCCCTTCTCGACCTTGGGTTCCCTATTACCAGTTTTCCTGTCCCCTCCTGCCTTCTAGTCCTTGTCCCTGGACTGTTGTGCCCCATTAGTCTTGTTTTGTTTTATGGGGCTGTGTAATCTATGGCTGAAGTGTGAACCTAGGGAGTGACTTCATTACTGACTGAAAGGGTGTCTGGGGGCCATACTCTAGGGGTTTCTCCAGTCTCTGTCAGGCCAGTAAATCTGGTCTTTTTTTGTGTGTTAGAATTTTGTTCCACATCCTTCTCCAGCTCTGTCCAGGACCCTCTGTTGTGATCCCAGCCAGAGCAGTCAGTGGTGGTAGTCGGGCACCATCTAGCTGTACTGGACTCAGTCTGGGGACTTGGTAGCTGTGGTCCATTAGTCCTTTGGACTAATCTTTTCCTTGTATCTTGTTTTCTGCATTCTCCCTTGCTCCCGAAGGGGCAAGACCAATGGAGTATCTTAGATGGCTGCTCACAGGCTTTTAAGACGCCAGCCACTACTCACCAAGGTAGAATGTAGAGCATTGTCTTTATAAACTGTGTTATGCCAATTGAGCTAGATGTTCCCCAAGACCACGGTCCCCACAGCCCTCTGCCCAGCAATTCAGTCCCTCAGGGAGTTTAGAAGTGTCTATGGAACTTCCATGAACTTTCGTTGTACAAGCTGTGCTGGCTTCCCCGGTATTGTGTACTGTCTTTACTGAATGTTTTCATCAAAGATTCTATAGAAGAATCCTAATCAAAATGGGGAAAATGTGAAAGAAAATTTCAAAATCTCATTCTGGAGTCACTGAGACTGGATGAACCCCTGAAACTGTTAAACCTTAAACCAAAAATATCCCCTGAAATCTTTAAACCGAACAATTCACCCACTGCCGTTGAGACGATTTAGGCTCATAGCGACCTCATAGAGTTTCTAAGGCTGTAAATCTGTATGGAAGCAGACTGCCACATCTTTCTCCCTTGGAGCCGCTGGTTGTTCCAAACCAATGACCTTTTGGTTAGCAGTCCAGCACTTTAACCACTGCACCACCAGGGCACCTCTAATTGATAAAGAATGTCGGCCTTGAGCATTGTGCTCTTTTAAAATCCACCTATTTGGAATCAAATTGACAACAGCGACTCAAAAGATTAGCTAGGAAACGTAGGAGGCAGTGAGTTCACGTTAATGGGAGTGGAACAATATGGAAAAGAAGGGTGAGAATGCTTGCACAACTTGAAGAATGTAATCCGTGAATTATACATGTAGAAATTGTTGAATCGGTGTATGTCCTGCTGTGTATATCCTCAACAACAACAAAAATAAAATGATTATTTTTTTAAAAAAAGGAGTCTCAGGAGCCGTATCAAGCAATTGCAATGTATGTACCTTATTTCAATTCCCAATTGAAAAAAAAAATCTTAAAACAATTAGGGAAATATGAACACTGACAAATAGTTGATGATATTAAAGAACTAGTATTAATTTCCTTAGGTGTGATAACAGTAGTATTGTGGTTGCTGTTATCTTAGGTTATCC